AGAGAAGCCAGTTTCAAACCAGAAAAGGGAGGAATTTCCTGGCCCTGGCTCAAGCCAGAGAAGCCAGTTTTAAACCAGAGAAATGGAAAGAATTTACTCTGCTTGCTTTTCCCTCTTCTGGTCCCCTGGCCTCGGCTCAAACCAGAGAAGCCAGTTTCAAACCAGAAGCGGGAGGAATTTCCTGGTCTCTGCTCAAGCCAAAGAAACCAGTTTTAAACCAGAGAAGGAAAGAATTTACTCTGCTTACTTTTCCCGCTTTTGGTCCCCTGGCCTTGTCTCAAGCCAGAGAAGCCAGTTTTAAACCAGAAAAGGAAGGAATTTCCTGGTCTCGGCTCAAGCCAGAGAAGCCAGTTTTAAACCAGAGAATGAAAGAACTTAATCCGCTTGCTTTTCCCAGCTTCTGGAGTAAAATAACTACTTTCAAAGTAAAGACCACCCAATGAAACAGGAAATAACACTTTTAAACCATTAATGAAAGGATTCGGAAGTCTCGGAAGTTTCGAAAAGTTTTGAACATTTTTTTCTGTGAAATCGGAATTGACTTTAGAATCGAACCACCAGCGCCCACAACATCCAAAACGAGTTTTGAACCATTTTTAAAAAAATCAAACTAGCCTAGTGGTGAGTCCAGGAGAACTCCCAAGCTGCAAACCTATATATAGAATCTGTATGTCTGTATGTCCAATGCTGTTCTTTGTGTAAATGTCAAAGTTCTGCTACCCTGTCTGATACTGGAAAATTGCAATAAAATCCCTGTTTAGAGCCCACCTGCTCTCCTTCAAGTTTTACCTCTGGAGCAATGATGTGGCAACAGCTTTCTTACCAGGAGCCTTTCTGCTTCTGCATATTTCTATTGCTTATCATGTTATTGTTTAGCAGTCATTAATTTGTATTATTAGAGCTATAACAACAGTAGAGGAGCCATTGTGGTGCCTTCAAACTCTTTCAATGAATCTCCATTGTAATGATTCTTCTGTGTCTTTTTACTTAATGGCCCTTTGGGTTTCTCTCCGAATCTTTTTTTTCTCTCTTATCATTACTGCAACTA